ACCTTAAACAGGAGAAATTTCTAAATAGAAGAAATTAGTCAATTTATTTTCCTGCTTTGGGTCATTTTCTTTTTGTCTTCTATATGAGAAGATGTACAATAGAAATATAAAAATGATAGATTTCTCAGGATCATGTGCAAATTCAAGACATTTCTATTATATCTAAATCTCAAACCACAGCCATGTGGCTCTTGGGAACTCCATAATTTATATATTTGAATGTCTTCATTAAATGTGAACACTTGAATCCTGATCATAAATATTTTCATTTTCTGTATATGGCATGTTACAGTAGTGATCTAGACCCCACTAAAATTTAAAGCATGGACACCTGCTTTCAAGGAAGTCCTTAATCAAAAAAATAAAATCATTGATTTTTTTCAAAATACAAGTGGCAATTGATTATTTGAATTGCTAGTTTTTCCTTGAAACTTATATTCTAGATATGATTTTAGTTACAGGTTTCATAATTTCCCATTAATATGAAAGCATACATGTGTCATGGATAAACTAGAGTATCTCTTTGTATCCAGCACAAAATTAGTTAAGGGGGTGAAAAAATACACACTATCCTATATATGTGATCTATCTTTTAGAAAGACCATAGTCTTGTTGATATTCTCAATCAAGAATGTCAAAGGAGGTAGTTTATATAGTGATTAAAACAAGGGATGTGAATTCAGATATTATTTTATCACTTACTAGCTGTGTGACCTTGCCCATTATCTCTGTTTTCTTTAGTGTATCTCCACTGAGATAGAAAGGTCAATTAATATTTCAAATTAGTTGTGAATCATAACCCATGAGGTGGAAGGCACCATCTGGTTGAGTCTTACCCAGATATTGGAGACAATCATCATCTTCTCTAGCCTTCCTCTCCCAACCACAGGTACCTAATAAAACTTCATTATATCCTGATCTTATTTTCTTTCCATATTTGTGATCTTGGAGTCATCTCTGGCTCCTTTGTTGCCCTCTACAGCTCATTGCTGAGACTTTTTGGTTGGCCACATCATTTGCCTCAGTAAAAACAAAGAAGCTCCTCTATTTCTTACTACTGGACTCTGGTTACATCAAACACAACTTAGTTTTGAAAATTTCTTAAAGACAGGTATTTATCCCTCAAAATTATTTCAAATTCTCCACCAATCTTTTTTTTTTTTTTTTTTTTTAAAGATTTCATTTATTTATTTGAGAAAGAGAGAGCATGTGGGGTGGAGAGGCAGAGGGAGGAGCAGACTCTGCTGAACAGGGAGCCCAACGACATGAGGCTCAATCCCAGGACCTGGGACCATGACCTGACCTGAAGGCAGATGCTCAACCAACTGAGCCACCCAAGTGCCCCATTTCCACTGATATTTTTTTTTTTTTAAGATTAAAAAAAAAAATTTACTTGACAGAGAGATTACAAGTAGGCAGAGAGGCAGGCAGAGAAGCAGGCTCCCAGCTGAGTAGAGAGCCCGATGCAGGCCTGGATCCCAAGACCCTAAGATCATGACCTGAGCTGAAGGCAGAGGCTTAATTCACTGAGCCACCCAGGCGCTGCCCCCCATTTCCACTGATCTTAATATAGATTGCTCGCTTATTAGAGTGGATGGTCAGTCAGTGCTCAGTTGGTGATGTTCATTTTTTCACCATAGGTTATTATACACTTCATCTCCATTGCAGAGATTCATTAATTTGGAAAACTTTTAAGAAATCAGATACTTAAGACATACTACTCATTTACTTTGCCATTTCCTGCTGTTTGAGTTAAGGTTCTGTGGACATACGGGGGTTGAAAAATAGCTCTAAAAACCACAAAGAGGTCACTAATGTTGACAACTCTGAATCCCTCTGAAAAATAAGCACCTGCTCTTCTTATTTACTATAATAACAAATACCTGGTCTTTGTACAGGTCAAACAGGTTTTTTTATATTTTGCAAAAGGCAATTAATTGAATTAAAGACTGTAGCTGTCTTTGGGCTTTGGTAATAAGATCTTAATCAAATATTGGGGGCTTCTGATATTATGAAAATGCTTTGGCTAAATATTAATGGGGAAAGTTCAGGCAGTGTGAAAGGTTTCAATGTGATATACAAGTACATATTGTAGCCATGTTTTCATTAGCAATGAGCATGAGGAACAAGTCTAACATGACAACCAGATTGCTACTAAATTATTTTATATGCTTAATTATGGCTTGCTTTAAAATTATGGTTTGGTTAGCTGCTGAAGTAAAAAGCTGGTTAAACCTATTAAAAATTTATTATAATAGAAAGCAAAGGATGCACCTTTGACATGCCTGCTACCCATAGTAGGTTGTGATCATTTTGTTAGCAGGAATTTTTTTTTCAATTGGCATTCTCAATACTTACCCCAGTATTTGGCCCATAAGAGGTGCTAAATAATGAATTAAATGAGTGTCTGATTTATAGCACCCTAAACACATATATGCTTTGGGGAACAATAAGGGTAATATAGTATCTATTGCCCAAATGACAGAATTCAGGTAAAAATTCCAGAGATGCATTGTCCAGTATGGTAGCTACTAGACACATGTGGCTATTTAATTTAAATTAAAATTAATAAAATAAATTCAGTCCCTCAGTTGCATAGCTAAATTTCAGTGCTCAAAAGCCAGATGAAGGTAGTGGCTACCATATTGGCTAGTGCAGATATCAAATATTTCCTTCATTGAAAAAAGTTCTGTTGGATAGCACTTTTTTTTTCTTAAGGTTTTATTTATTTGAGAGAGAGAGAAAGAGAGACCGAGCACGACTGGGGCACAGAGGGAGAAGGAGAAACAGACTCCCTGATTTGCAGAGAGTGCAACACAGGGCTCAATCCCAGGACCCTGGGATTGTGACCTGAGGTGAAGTCAGACACTTTACCGACTGAGCCACCCAGACACCCTCGAATAGCACTTTCTAGAGAGTGTGGTATTTTCTTCATATTAAAAAAAAAACAAACCAAAACCTCATTGTTCCATTATATAAATTCCAATATATTCAGATGACTTCACAAACATGAATACTCTCAATTTTAAGGAATACTGGGAGGATTCCTTATATATGTCTTTGTCAATTTGTAGTTTGTTATATTCTTACAATTCTTGGTGGCTTTTTAATAGGTTCAAAAGAGGTGCCTCGTTAGCGCAGTAGGTAGCGCGTCAGTCTCATAATAGGTTCAAAAGACTAGAGAGGAGCAAAACAAAACAAAAAACCACCTTAAACATGTAATTACCACACTTATGCCTGTTAAATATTGAGATTCCTAGATCCTGCCTTCAAGATCCTGACCCAATAGGTCCGAGGTATCTTAACGAAAATACATTAGACCTCCCCAGGTGATTTTGATACACAAGGCCCAGGGGCCACATATTAAAAAATTAAGCCCTAAGAATTACAAGGATTCTTACTTCACTTATTCTTACTTCACTTATTCAATAAAACATATTAACTCTCTCTATATTATGGGCCCCGATCTAGGCACTAGGGCTATAAAGACAGAGAAAGAGAAGATATCAATGGAGAAAGTATTGATGGGTGGTACTTTTTGCACATTTGCCCCTGTACCACTAATAGGCACCTAGCTACCACTCTAAACCTGCTCTCAGGTATTCTCCAGGCGGATACTGACTTGTCTTTGTATGCAAAGCTGAGTCCAGGAAGAACTTGATACTAGCAAGAAAAAGCAGAAAAAGGAGAAAAAGGTGGAGGATGAGGACAAGGTGGAAGAGGGGGATGAAGAGGAAAACAGGGAGAGGGGAAGGGATAGGAAGAGGAGAAGAAATTTAAGAAAGAAGGAGAGAAGAATGGGTTTTGAGAGGTAGAAAGGAAGGAGAATGTATAAACTTGGTGACTGGATGTTGGACAGGGTAATAAGCAAGAGAAAGGGGTCTGGAGTGGCATTTAGCTATCTGGTTCAGGTTGGTAGACAGTGAGGCCATTCACCTAAATATGGAATACAGAAAGAATTGTAATTTGGAGGGGAAGAAGATGGTTCACTTTTTTTTTTTTTTTTTAAGATTTTATTTATTTGACAGGCAGAGAGGCAGGCAGAGAGAAAGGAAGAAGCAGGCTCCCTGATGAGCAGAGAGCCCGATGCGGGGCTCGATCCCAGGACATTAGGATCATGACCCGAGCCGAAGGCAGAGGCTTTAACCCACTGAGCCACCCAGGCGCCCCGATGGTTCACTTTTGATATGCTTGACTTACATGCTGCCTCTGGCATTTCAAATTAGAGACACCCAGAAGGCAACAGGGTATAGAGTTTTAGAGCTTTAAAGATACAGATTTGGGATGCACCAGTGTTACATGAAACCATGGGTGTGAATGAAATCATATAGGAAAATAAAATTATACCATAGAGAGAAAAGAGAAGGCTCAAAAGGAAGGGAATTTGGTGGACATACATTTTTAGGTAGTGACACTTAACTTGTTGTGGATTGATGAGCTTTCTGAAAAATCAGATGATTTCTAGAGAATGTCAAACATCACAGACTTAGAAAATGTTACAGTTTCCAAGGTGTTGAGACTCCTTTTGAGAATTTCCATATTTCAGGAGTTTAAATGATGAAAGAGGAAGGGAGGTCCATGAAGGACAGTGAGAAGAGGAGTCAAATTAGTAGGAAAACCAGATTTCCAAGTCATGGAGATTTAGTCACCTGAGCTAACACAATAGCAAATACAAACCAGGTTAAATGAGTAGCCTGCTTCTCTTCTATTCCTGATTTTAAAATCAGGAAAGCATAAATTCATATTTAAGTCATTTACTGAATTCTCTTTTTGTTCATAGTCCCTCAGAGTTAGCGACTGAATTCTCTTTCCATTCTATTTTGGGTTTTCTTTCTTTGACTCATAGAAGCCATGGATTCGTTAACTCAGGAAAGAGAGTTTCTCAGAGTTTATCAACAATCCACAGTAGTTTTTTCTCTTCCACACAGGTATAAAATAGGGCTATAGCAAGGCCAGCTTGAATTTGTGTTTCCTTGGGATCCTTGCCAAAAGGATCTTACCTACAGAAGTGATGATGACTGTGAAATGAGCTTCATCTCGCCGTCCAGTTACATTGTTGTAAGCACAGCACATATAGTCAGTTGTCTTCTGGGCTACCTTCTCAGATGCAACTTCCAAGCGAGGCCCGTGCTTAATGACATATGTTGTATTGTCAGTCCTCCGGATCCAGGAATAGGTATTGGGGGGATAAGAATCAGCAGAACAATAAAATAAGATGGCCTCTCCAATGTCAACAGTGAACACTTCCCCTACTTTTAGCCCTTTGTCAGAATTAACTCGAAGTCCATAAGGTCCATCTGCATTGATTAAAAAAAGAAATAAAGGGATGGCATAAATAATCACAACATAGTTATAGAGTTTGGGAGAGCTCAGCAGCATTTTACTTTCCATGAAAGTCTTCAAGTTAAACTTGGGCAAATAGGTACTCATTTAGATTCCCAATAAATCATGAGGACCTAGAAATGTGTTATTCTGATATCCATGACAATGGAAATTATTTGAGATGTGGCTGAACTTATCTGAGAGTGAAAGCCTTGAAACTTAGTATGTAATATTAAAGACACTGCCATCATAACCGTGTGCTAAGATTTTTTTTATCATCACTTTAAAAAAAATTTACATTCAATTAATTAACATATAATGTATTATTTGTTGTGATTCATCAGTCTTATGTAATACTAGTGCTCATTACAACACACACCCTCCCCAATGTCCATCACCAAGTTACCCCATCCCTCCACCCCTCTTCCCTCCAGCATGTATGCTAAGCTTTTGAGTAATTAATGTATTGATAAATCTGTAATTGTGTTAGACAAGTACCATCTTTCTGAAACCATAATTGTACTTGAAAGCATATTAGAAATAGATTATGGCCATTATTTTCTCATTAACAACCATACTTTGAGTATTATCTATTTTTCTTTTTAGTTCTAAGGGAGGTCATGCAAATATTTACAAAATATAGTTTCACATGGAGCACAGATTTATGCAAATAGATACAGAAGTGTCCCATATTTTCATGACATATTAGCAATGAAAGAATTTAAAAAAATTTTCCCTGCAAACCAAGCTTAGAGTCCTCTTTGGAAAAAATACATCTTCATTATCATTAACAAATATTCATTGATTGGGACACCTGGGTGGCTCAGTGGGTTAAGCCTCTGCCTTTGGCTCAGGGCATCTGGCTGTCTGCTCAGCGGGGAGCCTGCTTCCCCTCTCTCTCTGCCTGCTGCTCTGCCTACTTGTGATCTCTTTCTCTCTGTCCAATAAATAAAATCTTAAAAAAAACCAAAATCCCCCCCAAAACAAATATTCATTGATCACCAATAAACTAATCATGGATATCCCATAGTGTTTTTCCTTACTGCAATTTTCTTGTGGCATTTTGCTATGTGTATGGCACCAAATTGCCTGTAGATGAAGACATATTTCCCATTGCTTTCTTCAGAAAATAAAGACAGAGATGGAAAAATTTCCCAGCTAGATAAAGTCTATCTTGTTCAGTCTAAATCCTGGCTTATATTCTAAAAACTTTAAGGCTTAAATATGATTGTACTCAGTTTTCAGCTGATCATCACCAACATCTATTGGCTACCCTCCATATGAAAGCACTTTAAGTACTTACACAGACAACTGCATTTAATTTTCAAAGCAACCACATAAGGTAGATGTTATTATTCCCATTATAAGATGTAGGAAGTGACATTTAAAAATTAATTTTCCCATGGTCCAAAGTTTTTAATAGCAGAGCTGGAACTCTAAAATATATGCATTTGATCATTCACATTACTGCCCCCCAAATATATATCAGAACAGTTTCTTGTTGTGTAACTATAGTATTAGCTCTACAATAAGTTAAAATTATCTCATTATATATGAATTCTGTACTCAGTTAATCAAGTAATCAGTCAACAAATTCTTATTTGAGAGATACTATTAGACAATATATTTAATACAAGAGAGAAAAAATACATAAGATACAGTTCCTACTCTCAAGGAATTAATAACATGGAAAAGGCAATGGATGGTTTGCTCAGTAATAACCTGATCTCAAAGGTTCTGATTTTATTTTTTAAAGAAGTACTATTTATCTCTCATTATAGGGAATAATATGATGTAATGATTACACAGTAGTCATTATCAGTTATCACTATGTTAAATCCTGATTTTGCCAATAATTAGTTAAGTATTCTTCAGAAGTCATTTAAACTTTTAGGTCTCACTTTCCTCACCTTTGCTACAAAAAAGTTGACTAAATGAATGGTCACCAAAGTTCCTTCTCCCTTTGAAATACCTTTGAATGACTGATACCATGCTAAAGCTATTTTGGATACTGGGAAGCCAACCTTAAATTTTCAGATTCCCAGAGTGGTTCTCTTTGATGTCAGTATTTTCTGACCAATGTACTGTTGGGGAAACACATTTCCTAAGATAAAACAGAAACTAAAGATGCAAAACAATAAATTATATTTAGCTAGGGAACACAAACTTTACACATATTTGCTTCCTAAAGACATAAACATCTGCAGGGAAGCTACAGATTAACGTTAATATGTACATGTGAGATGATCCTGATTTCAAAAGGCAAATAAAGACATTAGTATCTTCAAATTTGAAGTAATCAGGAACTGGAGATGGAAGATTAAAGGAAGAGAAACGAATGCCCTTTCCAACACTGTACTAGCTATACTAGAACCCCATTATATGGCTCTCTCATTTCAGGCTATGATACAATCTCTGGGGAAAACCACTCTTTCAGAACTGTGGCTAAGTGGAACCCCCTTATTCTGAATTCCACTAAATAGTAGTTTATGTAATGGGAATGAAGAGTTGTTTTCACTCACTCCACCAAAATAAATACTGAGATGTTACTGTGCATAAATATTGTCCTAGGCATTATGGGAGAATCCAAGTATCACAGAAATGATTCTTGTGGCTGTTCTCCCAAGCCCCATGCAGCAGCAGGGTCTTCAAGTTGTCGGCATTGGCAGAATATTAAAGAAGCAAAGACCACCAACTGGTAAGTACCGGTTATGATTCACATGGTAGGAAACCAAGAAGAGGAATCAACTAAAGTTTGGAACAAGATACCCAGGTCTGTGCACAAAAACTAAAGTCTGAGAGGGCTTTTCTGTGAGCACTGATTAAACAAGTGTAGTGTAGTTATAAAAATACACCCATTCAGTTTAAGTCTGTCTTCATTGGCTTTCAGGGTTTACAGAATGTGACTATAAAAACAAATTGCTTGATAATTTGACACACATAAAAATGAGTAATATTCCGTTCAGTGTGCTGACATTACTCAAAACTTTTTTGAGAACTCCTCCATTGGAATTGCCTTAGGACCCTGGAACATAATAGAGTATTGTCAAAAGTAGTAATTCGTTCATTTTGGTAAATGGGCTCAATTTGTAAAGGAAACCCACAATCACAGTCAAATTTGGTGAATAAGGTTGATTATCTGATTTAATAATATTGTTCTAGTTTAAAATAAAACATGCTTTTAAAGAAAGGACTCTCGGCTTATCTTCCCTATATGTACACATATTTTGATTTTGCTACTTCCCCATTTGTTGGGTTTCATGATTGGCGTAAAGTTTTCTCCTCTGTCTTAATTACATGGTATATCTAGTTCTTCAGAGTTAGCTTCAAAACCTCTCAAACTTTCCCAGCCCCCATACAAACATTTCTCCTAGTTTTTGGAGCCTAACACCTTGAAGCATTTAAATTCCTTGCTTCTGATATGATTTCTTAAAATGTAACATTCTTTATCTCATTATATAAGAAATACATGTTTATTGCAGGAAATTCAGAGAATCACAGAGATGGAAAGAAAACTCATTTGTAATTTTACCATTCAAAGAATGAATAATCATATTTGTGTATGATCTTTCAATCTTCTATACTTCTCTCTCTCACACAAACACAGATCTCCTTCCTCCCTCCTTCCCTCCCTTCCATCCTTCCTTCCTTCCTTTGCTCTTTCTCTCACTCTCTCTCCACTGCTTACAATGTTTTATTCTTACTACACAATGATATTATTTCCTTTTTAGCACTTCAGCCTGACCATCTTTTACTTTGAGGTGCAGCCGAATACATTATTCATGAGAATGGGCAATCCAATTGAAGACATTTGGAGTGATTCAACCAGTGTGGCCTCTGACATTGAAAATGAAAGCAGAAGGATAATTTTATTTTGACTTTGGATTATGGTTCAGTTTCTTGCCTGTGGCAGAGAACTCCCAATAGGAATAAACCCTTTGCCTCAGAAATGGCTGTTTACTAAGTGACTTGTAAAATCACATATCATCTGTTCTCTTTAACAATTTATGGTTGGGTGGGAACAGTACCGAAATTTCCATCATGATGCTGCTTGCCACCCTGCTTGGGAGCAGATGGTAAGTATTTACTGTGAATGACCTTTTTTTTTTTTTTTCTTTAATTTTTATCACTTAAAGTACTTCCCTGCAGCAGTGCCATATGTTGCACACAAAATGCAGTGGTTACTGGGTTATTATTTACAACAGAGCTGGAAGGCATATGCATTTCATGGACTACAAGTAGGTATCTGTCTGAATTACTGACTTGACATTATATTCCAAACAAGTCCATTACTAGGTTATGACATCATAACCTCATACATACACGGCCAGTCTTGATAGATTCTGTTAAGCTTTTTCCTGCCAAAATAAAAAATAATTCCTGCTTTCATAGAGGAAGCTGTAACAGAAAGAGTGCCTTAAGAAAACAGAGCTGTTGATTCATGCTGAAGTTCTAAATTACGATGTGGACCTCCATGGGGGGAATATTGGAATATGACATTTTTATTGAGAAATTTTGCTAAAGATCAGAAACAAAAACAAAAAATAAAACAAAAGGCCAAAGCACTATAATTAAGAAGCTGTTACAGTGGGAATTTAAACTTGCATCATCAAGTAACGCTGGAATCTGAAAGGGATATGAAGAAAGATCATCTGTTCCATTTTAGTCACGTTCAAGAAACCTGTTTTGAGTTCTTAATCCGTGTCAAGTATTGCCCTAGGGATACAAAGATGAACAACACAGAGCTCCTATTTTGGGGTAGAGGGCTTATGAGTAGAAAGACTCCAGTGCAGTGAGTACCAGGAGAAAAGGTGCTATGGGAGCACGGCGAACCTCTTAGTCACACTGAAGAGCTGAGACAAGGTTGGGGTAGGTGAGCATTTCTGGAAAAGATGATTCTATAAAGAAAGACGAGGGTGTAGCCAAGTGAAGAAAGAGGTGGGAACATAAACCAAGGCATATATTCTCAGTTTGT